CCCCCGACCCCCGGGTCCGGGGGTCGACAACCCTGGTTCTCTTCACCGTAATGTTCTCGATAAAAAATGCCGCCCTCAGGTACCTTAGCCACTGATTAGGCCTACCTTCAGTTCACTTAGCCAGAAGTTTCGTGATGGTGCTATGCCCCCTCATACTGGACCATTTGCTTGGGGATGTGTTGTCGTGGTATAATTGGCTACCACGCCGTATCCTGACAATAACTCCTGGATCTCCTGACAAGTAAACTTTGATCCTCTATCCATCACGAATTTATTGATGAAGGGATAACCCAGGTAGTACTCCTCGATGCAGTTTACCAACACCGAGCCGGTATTTGCACGAATGGCACGACCATCTACAAAGCCAGAAATGTTGTCTCTCGCATCGAAGATGTAGTTGTACCCATGATCCCCAATTGACATAAACAGTAAGTTGAGATGTACTACGACACCCACTTCCCTTTCTAATCTTGGATGCAGCGACTCTCCTGGCCTCGAAGCACGACTATAATGTCAATCTGACGGCTCCTCCTGCATATAACCCTTTTGGGGCGCCCTACTTGCCTCTTTACGAAGAGAAGACCATCCCTCCCTAGGTAGAGGTGCCTCATCTCTTGAGCCCTTTCGCTAGCATCCCTATCTTGCATCTCACATTATACGAGAAAGTCTCAGCTCCAGGTAGATCCCATCATACTCCTCTACACGAAACGCCTCTTTGATATCTCCTTCCTCAAACTCGTCATCCTGGTTGTCCGACGCAATATCTTCATTCTCAGTCGGATTCAGGTCGCTTACTTCATCAAAATTCTCCTGCAGAAGCGTATTGACGAGGAGGTCAATTCCCTTTACCAATTCCTTGTGCTTCGCTACTTGGTCCGACCCTTCTTCTATCGTTTTTACCTCCTCTACCAGACTATGCATGCCTGTCAGCGTCAACTTCATCATCCATTGGACATTTTTACCGCCCCATGAGTCCTCGTCCTCAAAAGGCTTAAGCACGAGCTCTGCCTTCTGCTCATATCCCTTTGGCGCTAGCCAAATGGGATGGCCAACATAATTCGGCACTCGCAAGGACCATCTGTTAATGTGAAGGCGGACGTCTTCCTCCTGATCCAACAAGCAATCAACCGGGGGTCTGTCCTCTATTGCCTCTCATTTTTGCTTATCCCAATTGATGCGACTTAGCCCATCTGCGCTATTCTTATTTCCTGACATCCGTTCCAATTCAACCGGGGGTCTGTCCTCTATTGCCTCTCATTTTTGCTTATCCCAATTGATGCGACTTAGCCCATCTGCGCTATTCTTATTCCCTGACATCCGTTCCAATTCGAAATTWAACATCTAGATGYATGTTAGCCATCTGACAACAGTTGGATCCGATGGAACGTAATTCCTCAGCGAATAAGYGAGCGCAGTCGGGTCTACCCTCAATATGAACCTTCTGCCAAAGATATAATTTCAAAAAATCCTCAGGCAGTGGAGGATTGCGAGAGTCTTTCTCTTAAACTGAGAGTAGTTCCTCTCAGTCGTACAAAGAGTTCGGCTCTCGAACCTTAGCGGTCTCTCCTTCCCCTCGATATGAGTCTGAATCAGGACTCCCCCTAAGGCAGGCAATCCAACATTCGTCTCAACGATGAATGGCCTCACCTCTGTGGCCTCATACTCCAACGCTCCCAATACCAACCCTCCTTCTCGAAACTCCTCCTTCATCTTAGCCACTGTCTTCCCCTGTTCCTCACCCCAAATCCATTCCTGATCCTGACGCACCAGCTTCCTTAGGTGCTCGATTTTTGCAACAAAATTTTTGACGAAGGTTCTTCAAAACCCACACGTACCGAGGAAGCTTCTAACATCTGTTATTGAGTGGAATGGTACTGGACATTCAACAATTTTGTCTGTCTTCTTTACATCTGGCCGCCRACCACTCTCACTACAGACGAACCYCAAGATCGTAGYCTCCCTCATGCAATGTCTGGATTTGGCACCACTAGCTGTAAGGTTGTGTTTCTCAAGCAAACTCATGCCTTTATCAAGATCATAAATATGCTTCCAAACAAAACGTCTTACATCTGGCAAGACTTCGTCATTCTCCTTCTCTCTCGGCCCCTTTACCGCCAAGTCGTCAATGTACGTCTGAGTGATGTACGAGCTGACCATCTGTATGACTCGAATCATATGTCGCTGGTTCAGAACCATCGCCACCACATTGGTTCATGCTTGTGGAGTCACATTCATATGGATCAGCCCTCGGGGCGTATGCATCGCTGTCACTAGTCTGTCTGATGGATAAACCGGAAACTAGTCATATCTGGAGTAAAGTCTATAAGCGAAATTATAGGTCTCCCAACACATGACTCTGATAGCGCGTTAGCATTTGGCAAGCCCCCCGCATCTCGCACGGTCACAGCGTTCAACCGCTGCAAGTCCTTCACCCACCGCAATGTCCCATTTGGTTTGACAAAACAAAACCATGGAAACGCATACGGACCACTCGGGTAATCGGCGACATGCGCATGTATCTTGTCGTCGAGATAATATACCACCTTCTTCTCCTCGTAAGGATTAGGATAGCATGCCCCTCTTAAATTYCACGGTTCATRTGGCACAGTATGGATCCGGATCATAGGAATCTTATCTATGAACAATCTCTCACGCTGATCGTCATGAAAAGCATAGGCGCAATGYCTCTTGTTCATTAGCTTTATCCTCAACACTTCTTCCTGGGGTAACTGAAATTCAGACTCTCCCACTATTAACTTCCCTTCGTTCCCTTCATTGATACGACACCGCCCAACTGCCGCTTACTCCCTCATTCGCCGTATCAATTCTCGTTCTCGCTCGTAATAMCCTCCCCATCTTCTGTGACGAGAACGAGAACTGGGCGGCACTTYTTGTCTATCGTCGTGTACCRCCTTTGGGAACCTTGCTTGAGCCGTCCCYTGAAAAAGATCGGCTTACCGCTTGCGCCTGCATCATTGCAGGATCCCTCCTTCCGCCCGGAAGCCATTTGACAAGCTCTACCTCCCCARCCTGGGGACATTTCAGAACCTGTTCCCTCAGTGCTTGAATGGCGTCTGGATCCACCATCTCATAWGTGGCCACTACATCCATGGCCTTGKTTACATCGGATAGGCTGAGGRAAAACACCTCCTCCTGTGTYTCCTGTTCTGGTTCCTCACAGAGTCTCYGACGCTCGTCCTCGGACTCTTCAACCGTGAATGAACCAGGGTTAGGCCGGTTCCTTATACTTCGTGGGYCTGTGTTCCGRCAAGTAACTATTTCATAGTTCCCGCATGCCGGCCCACACAGGATCAGGATCAAAGTTTCGTCATGTTTGTTGAACATCAACGTCTCCGTCCTACATAGGAACGACCTCCCTAGGACGATGGCATGATCCACGTCCGGCATGACGAAGAAGCAAGCTCTGGCCTTTACTCTCCCAATCTCAATGAGTACGTTTGACGCCGTTCCACAATCCGAGCGGTCTATCTTCAACCTGCCAATAAACCTGAGTGCATCAGCTTCCTTGATGATATTCATCTCCACCCCTGTATCCACCATTGCTGCGCACTTTGATCCCTTCACCACCAGATCCACCATTCCGCAGGCCACGCACTTCAAGTCCATCTTTGTCCCATTTTCTGCCCATTCTGCCTCCTTTGGCAAAATCACGCTTAGATGGAAATTCGACACCAATTATCGGGAAAACCTTCCCTTTAGCTCGTTACGGAGCTTAGGAGAAGATGTCAGGATCTCCTTCAAGGTCACAAGGTCATTATGACGTTCAAACAACCTATCAATCACCTTTTCTACATCAAACCCTTCTTCCAACCGGACCGCATTTTTTTTTTCTTTGGCGTCGCATTGCACAAAATTGGTTCGACTTCCTCTTGAGCTCCCCTCTTCTTGACCCTTTGTTCTGCCCTTCGATCCTCCTCTTGGCGTAGCCTATCATCTCGTTCATCTTCATCGTCCTCCTCCTCTACCTGTACAACCTCTTTCCTTCATTCCTGCTCTGGCTCCCTCTGAGGGGGTTCTCGGTTGGCACTCGCCTTGCTCTGGCCCCTAGTTTGTGCAGCTTGTGTCATTCTCCCTTGCGCAGTAGGGGTCCTGAAGGTCATTTCGGACTGAGGCCTTGACCCCACAGTGGCTACGCCAAGGTAGCCTTGCCCTACGAAACACCCACGGACACTTCCGCGGGGTCGAGCTCGGAGGGCGGTCGTGATCACGCTCGCTGTCGCACTTTTTTCAGTCGAGCCACTTCGGGCGACCGGAAAGCCAACAGGCTGTCACGCAGAGTTTTGTATGTGATTGCAATAAATAAAATAAATTAAATAATGCAAATCCCTTCCTGTTGTGTGCGTCCGGCTTCGAGCGAGACCCTTCAATTGCGGTCTTCGTCGGTCCCCGGTCTTATGAATCTTTTTTTTTTATTCGGAACAACAGAGAATCATGCAAATAATAATCATAAAAAATGGTGGAGTGCTATGCATGCATCAATTACGTCAATCTGATTTCGAGAACTGTGACAGAATCATCCAAGAAATCGATCATCAAGCAAGAACAATGCAAGAAGCAAGACCGACTGACTGACTTGGGCAACGACAAAGTCAAATAAATGAGGGAAGAATGAAAACTCATAATAGTCTCAGGGAGTACATATGGAAGAGAACATGGCTAGCACCAATCAAGAGTCCTCACTCAACCCTCTAAACTTCACTCTCCATCTGTCACTTTGTTGTCTGTCGTTTGGGCTTCTTGCCATGACTCCGTACTCTCTGAGGTTGTGGCTTCTGAATGTAAAACCACCTGAAGCCCACTAGTTCCAAACACTTCCAGCCAAGTCTCATGATACGGAAGTCAAGCATAGCACAAAACTCCTCCCATAGAGTGGGGAGATATGACTGAGAGAAAATGCCCCTCCTAAGATGTGGGAACGCAGAGGGTTTTGTCACCGCCTCGTAGTCAATCTCTGCTGGCGATACGTATCTCTTAGACAAGTCCACCAGTCCACCCCAGTAAGAGTCGTCAGTAAGGTAGTATGGGACCGGCGATTTGGGATAGTCAGTGAAAAGCTTAGGGCCGAAGCTATAGGCTAGCTTTGTGCGCACCTGGAGCCTCTCAGCTTTCCATTGCATGAACCCAGCTGCTGCGGCCCATACTGCATCAAAATAAAGGTGTGTCTCATTCCCCTTCTTCAGAAAGATCCGGAGATCGCTGACTCTCCCCTCAGCGAACTCATTATGGACGATGAAGATAGGCAGATCTTCGCGCTTGAATCCATCGATACTTACATACTTGTAGGGGAAACTTAGCAATCTGGTTGAGCCTGGCAAGGACCGACTGGTCAACTGTGATGGGATTTATCTCTCTCATGTGTTTGGTAAATAGTTACTCCCAGATAGAAAGGAAAAGAGATTGTGCTCGATTCGCAAAAATCCACAGTCTGCGTACCTCTTGAATATTTTTCTGGATGTTGCCCTGAATGTTGTTCTCCAAATGCTGCTTCTGAAAACTGTTTTCTGGTTGCTGTTTCCGGTTGCTGTTCTGATAGTTGTTCTTATTGCACTTCTGATTGCTGTTCTGATTGTTGTTTTTTTGTTGTAGTTTTCTAACTGCCGCCTCCGGATGCTGTCTCCGGATGCTGTCTCCGGATGCTGTCTCCGGATGCTGGGTCTGATTGCTATGTTGGAATGTTATGCCTGAATACTGTGTCTGAATACTGTCTGAATACTATGTCTGAATACTGTGTTTGAATGTTGTCTGCATGTTATCGGAATGTTGTCTCTCTGGTGATCAGAAGGTTGATTGATTCGCTGATCAGAAAGCTGATTGATTCGCTGATCAGAAAGCTGATTGATTCGTCGATCAGAAAGCTGATTATTACTGATTAATCGCCGACAGAAAACTCCAAGTAACTCGGACAGTTGGATGTTGAATCGTAGACAACAATGATACTAACCGACTCCCTGACTGTCAGATGCTTTTCTGCTTGATGAAAGCTTAAGTGAGTGTTGTCCGAGCACTGTTTGGGTGAGTGCGGCTACATTGACCTACCAGTTTGTTGATTCACGTGACATAGTGCAACAGAGCAGGCTGCAGACTGTTTGCTGAGTGCTCGCCGGCTTAGATACTTGTTAAATTGCAGTGAAAGTAATTCAGGTACCACGGAGCTCAGGCGAGCTTTACTCTAGCCTGCTCCACCGTCTCTAGCGAGGAGCTGGTACTGTGTAATTTGTCGTCGTGCCCATAGAAGTAAACCACGTACTCAATGTACACTTCACCTTTCACCATCTGAATTGCATACTCGCGTTGAACTTTTCTATGTAGTTTCATGTCTTTGTATTCTTCTTTTTTCCATCCCTCTTCCTTGTCTCTGACAGATCTGGACTTTACTACCAAGACTTCATTGCTCTTCATGGGGTCCTTGATGGGAAGTCAGATTTGACGCTGACCAAAGGAGGTACGGGTTAAATACCACTTAGGCACAATGACATCCTAGACGGTTGAGGGTTGTGCAACAGCCAACTGCCCGCTCACCAAACTTAAGCATTGATTTCAACTGACTGAAAAGAGGTATTCATACAGATAGTTTTATAACCTTGGCTTATGTGTTGTCTCAAGCACTTAATTGTGAACTTGTTCCCTATTAAGTATCAAAGAGAAACCTCTTTCCCCTTTTTCTTTCCTGCGTTCCCTCCTCTCACCCATCAAACTTTTCTAACTGATCCTTGGAGATTAGAGATCGGGGGTTCAGACGAGTGCCCACTCTTTGTCAATGACAAGCTGCGAGCTCAAACTGCTAAAACTTAGATTGATTGGTCTGCAGCTTGCACCTTTTAACGACCACTAGTCGCCAAGCACGGTCAGTGAGCATACTGTATTTGGCTACCACAACAACTTGCACAGAATCAACTCACTGACAGGGCACGGTAATGACTTCCACTAGCAGGCTGCTTTTAGATAGCCCAAGTCACGGCGGACCCTTCTCAGAGCGGTTGATGATTAGTATGGTGACTGAGCTCTTTCCTGAATTCTGGTGATAGGTGGCTTGAAAAGTCACTCACTAACTGACCTTAGCATTGACTCGGTATTGATCTGTCCTTTTGAATATCATACAGGCTACACTCCAAGTAGCGGGTGTGCATGAGCCATGCTGAACGTTACACCAATCTGGTTAAACAGGGGATTCGTGAAAACCTAACAAAACAAATTGTTAGGTTTGCAAAATCGTGTTTGAAGTTTAACAACAGCTGATTTTCGGCCCTCGGTAAGAACCTCAATTTCGGCGGCAGTAAAATGAGCGAAAAAAAAGCGGAGGAAAAACCTTTCGAGAGGACCATTGGAAAAAACGACAAAAAAATAACATTTTCGACTGCAAATCGCAAGCAGGTGTTGTGCACAATCTTGAGGCCGTAAAAATCTCATATCTTTTGCAAACATTAGATGCCGGCTCTAGAAAGGGTCAACTTTGCAGCTCTCGCCCAGGTCGAGAGTTCCCATTTATAGTCCTATAATTGCATTTTCGCAAAAGTTCGTTTTTTGCTGACATATACGCTATCGACCGCGGGCCAAAAACGACATGCGGCTCTCAACAGCATGTTAGGGTAGACTTACAGTTCTAAAAATACATTTTTCCAGAAAACCAGTTTCGAAGACTTGATACAAGCTTGTTTCAGTCTCCTTTAAGTTCGTATTTGCCGAGCCCGACGTTTAAGCTTTGTCAAAACCGCTTTAAAGTCCTATAAGTGTGAAGCCAGAAAATAGCAACGACTTCATCAGTTGAAATTATGATTTATAGTCCTTTAAAGGTCTGTACAACCAATCCGAAAAAGAGCGTCAACTTGTTCAGTTGAAGTTCATATTCATAGTACTATAAAGGTCTCTTCCCTGAATGCTGAAGACAAGGACTTTTTTTCAGTTGAAGTTACAATTTATAGTCCTATAAATATCTCTTCCCCAAATCTGAAAACTAAGGCAAGACTTCATCAGTCGAAGTTAAGCTTTATAGTCCTATAAATATCTCTTCTCGAAATCCGAAAAATGAACTGGACTTCGTCGGTTGAAGTTGCGATTTATAGTCCTATAAATGTCTCTTCCCCAAATCTAAAAAAAAATACGCGAGACTTCTTCAATTGACAAAAAGATTTAAAGTCGCAAAAATATCCCCTCCCCAGATCTGAAAAATAGGCAAGATTCTCTGCAAAACAATTCGTAGTCCTAAAAAGTCATCTTCGTCCAAATTTTTTTCCCGACATTCTCCGAGAATCTGTTCGCAATCCAACCAAGCCATTTCCACAGAGATTGTTATCTCTTCCCGAAATCCGAAAAATAAACTGGAGTTCGTCGGTTGAAATTAAGATTTATAGTCCTATAAATGTCTCTTGCCCAAATCAAATAAAAAATACGCAAAACTTCTTCAATTGACAAAAAGATTTAAAGTCCTAAAAATATCCCCTTCCCGGATCTGAAAAATAGTCAAGATTCTCTGCAAAACAATTCGTAGTCCTAAAAAGTCATCTTCATCCAAATGTTTTTTCCGATTTTCTCCGAGAATCTGTTCGCAGTCCTACCAAGCCATCTCCACAGAGATTGTTTTTTTTTACATTCTTTGAAATTTTATTTACAGTCCTGAAGTTTTACCCCTGATTGCTCTGTACTTCATCTAAACCCTAAGTCGTAAACCAGAAA